CAAAATAGAAAGAAACAATTAAAACAATACTTAAAAATACAAAGTAGGAGGACTCATACTTACTGATTTTAAAGCATATTATAGAGCTATAGCAATGAAAATAATCTAGTACTTGTATAGTAACAGCCACAAAAACCAATGAAATAGAATTGAGGGTCAAGAAAACAACCTGCACATCTATGGTCAAATAATTTTTGGCAAAGGTGTTAAATTCACTTGATGAAGAGGAAAATGTCTCTTCAATAAAAGGTGCTGGCACAACTTGATTTCCACATGCATAAAAATGAAACAAGGTCTTTGCTTCACACAATATATAAAAACAAAATCAAAATGGACTAAAACCATACAATTCGTTAGAAGCACTAACAGTACCAATGGGGTCAGGTCTAACTTTTAACAATGGATTATCTAATGTAAGATCTGTATTTTAAAACCGTTATGGAAAAGTTAAGAACCTAGGACTGTAGAGTCATTCTAGTTCACCAGGGTTACTAGTGGCTATGGAGAACGTGTGAAAGGACTTGGCTACAATGCCTGAAAGCAGGCAAAGAATACCAAGAATGGATGGGACTGAAAGCAGTCTCAGACTTCCTAGAGCATGTATGCCCATGAAAGGGATCTGGAAGTTCTCTGTTAAACAAAGACTATTTTCTGATGTTCTTGATAAGGTTGTTCAGAGAGCAGTAAGATCTTGTTCATGAGCACAAAGATGCTTTCTTGAAAACTGTTCATGCCTATCTATGCTTTGTTCCATATGTTTAAACATTTACCCACCTATGAAATCCTGCTTTGCTGCATGCTTTGATTTTCTGCTAATAAAAGCAGGGGCTCTGGAGCTGCTCGAGGCCATTAGCCTGAGAGAGCTCTTGGTCCTCCGGAACCACATTTCACTTTGCTAATCTTCCTTTAGCTCTACTCACGAGAAACAACATAGGACAGTAAAAGTCAGATAAAATCCTTTGAGATCAAGGATTAGGTAGAGTTCTTAGATTTGGAACAAAAAAAACCAACAAAAAGCTGACAGATTGGACTTTATAAAAAGTAATCACTTTGCTATACAAAGTACAGTATGGAGAGACTAGAAAAACAAACTATAGACTAGTAGAAGATATTTGCAAATTATACATCCAACTGTCTCTGAAAACCCACTGAAGGGTCAGCTCTGGATTGGTTCCAACTCGAAAGCACACAACAACAGCAACAGCATATCCAACAAAGAGCCTGTATCCAGAAATAATAATAGAGCTTAGCTCTTGGTATCGTTTAGAAGATCAAATGAAAAACTAAAAGCAAAATCTTTAGTGTAATGTTTGGCCCATAAAAGAATTCAGGAAATGAGAATGATTATCATTGTTATTACACTATTCTACAAAATTGGAAAACTAAAGGTCAGCTAAAAGGTCCTCTATAGAGGATTTTAAAAATCATGTTGTATTTATTATCAATAATATTCTTTCAAAAAATATTCTTTCCTCTCAATTTTTTAATTGTGATTTTTAACGGAAGTTTACAGAGAAGCAGGATTTACGTTCATTCATGGCTGCACACTTTCCTCCCTACCTCCCCCTCACTTTTTTAAAAAACATTCACTGTTGTGTAATTTCCTCCCTCGTCCCAGTTCACTTTGCTATGCACTTCTTATTCTGGACTGCTGTCATACAAATAACATCTAATCAACTATTCCTTTTAAACAGTGTGTCTTGTCAAGTAGGAACCGCCCCACAGCCACCCATCCGATAATCACACAGGAGGGAATTCCCACCCTTCTCCCACTGAGCTAGTGGAATCAAGCCTTGGGTTGGCAGCACTTCTTCCACGAGGCCTCCAGAGCTATTGTGGTTAAAAGAATGCTGTATGTAGTTACCTGGAAAAATCCAAGTTGTAGAAAAAGATCCAACCTGTGGGTTCTTTTGGAAGAAGGAAATTGCAGAATAATGTGTGCGCTATAATTCTGATTGCACAAAAAGAAAGTTAAAGATTTTTCTAGGAGCTTTTTTCTAGAATGATACCCAATAAACTGCTAGCAATTTTATTCCTGGAGAGAGGAAAAGAACACCACAAGGGTACAAGAGATGACAGGATAGGTAAGAAAATGTAAAGGGACCCTTTCAACTTTTATTCTGTTTATTCTTAAATTGTTTGAATGTTTTTCAGTAACAATATATCCTTGTGTTAATTATGAAATCAAAGTGACAGTAGGAAAGTATCAAATTTCTGACTGCCTTTGATTGTCAATTTAACCAGATGTGAACCCTGGCAGCCTAGTTCTAAGTAGTTGTGCTGCCAGTCCAAAGGCATGCTGTTCAAATCCACCAGCTGCTCTGCAGGATAAAGATGAACAATCTACTCCTATGCGACATACAGTCTCCAGAAACCTGCTGGAGAGTCAGGTATGAGTCAGTTCCCATTCCACATCAGTGAGCGAGTGAGTTTGAATTTGAGCCTCAGTCTACTATGCAGGGTAGAGGGGAAGCGCAGGAGAGGAAGACCAGATGAGATGGACTGATACCTGTAACTGGGGCGATGGGGGTAGGGGTGTGTGTGTGCCGGAGTCAGCTGAGACTGGCTCAGGACATAGCTCTGGCTTCAGAGATTCTGGACATAGGGTCACTATGGGTCACAGGTGACTCCACGGAACACAACAACATGAACTGAGCTTCTAGGGATGGACTGAGTGATCACCCTGGCTGTGCCATTAACTAGCTTTGTTGTGTTATTATTATGTGTCCTCGAGTCAGAGCTCACTCGGGGCTGGCCCTCCAGATTCTCCCTCTTTTTCCCCAGGTGGATGCAAACCACCAGCTTTGAGGATTATAGAGCAGCTCCTTACCCACTAGGCTACCAGAGCTTTTGTGGTTACTGTTTGCTAAACAGTATAGTTTGAACTTCCAAAGCAAGGATCAGAGATTTGGGTGGCAGCTTCCCAATCTTCAATGAGTGACGCGGAGTGTAGCTAGCTCATGATTGGTGCCCAGTTAATGAGAAAAGTGTAAGAAAGGCCTTTGCAGATAAATATTCACTACAAGAGCTCAATTAGAGGCAGCTGTTCTTTAAATAAAAAGATGCCCGGGACTATGAGTTAAATGTTGGCCACTGACCGAAAAGTTGATGGTTTACACACACCACCTGCTTGCCAGGAGAAAGACCAGAGCTGGAATTTTGATGAGGCCGTTCCATTCACAGCGGATTCAAATCTTAGTGGTCCTACAGAGTCAATATGATTTCAAAGCGACTAGATGATAACTTGAAAAGAAAAAAGGCGGAAAAAAAAAAAGGAAAAAGGCGGGGGTTTTAATAACAGCACTGTCCATGTCCATTTAAACTGACGTGAGATCGCCATCTAACGGTATCAAGAGGGAAGTTCCTGGAAGACTTACAGAGGAGAGCAAAGGGGCTTTTCTCTGGTCTTTTTTTTTTTCGTTGCTTTGTGGTTTTGGGGTGGGGGTTTGTTGTGGGGTTTTATTTTTTTTTTGTTTTGAAGTCTGATCTAGGAATGCAGTTACTCACCCTTAAACAAAAGCACTGACTATGTAAACATTATGACCTTCATTAGAAACAAATCTCAAGTGTGAACTAAGGGCCAAGCTTTCTGGTTTGGAGTGTTGGTGAGACAACACCGAGCACCCTGAAAACCCATCTCAGTACTCGCTCATTGAACCGTGACATTCAGACAATTTTTCATTTGTGTCGAGCCTCCCCTATCGAAACTCACATTCCGCGTGCTGTACAAAGTGCACAGTGACCACCAGCCTGTCCCCAGAACTGATGCAAAGCGAACACACTTCCGAAAGCAATGCTCGGGAGGAGAGAGGAGACTGAAGGAGAGTGTGCACACTTTGCCCTCCAGGAGTCCCCCCTTCCGAGCCAACGCTGCAAAGCCACTCTGAAAATGCTTTTCAAATGACAACAAGCCCTCTAACGTCCAGAGTTCTCGCAAGCATCACTTTGACAAACACCCTCTTATGTGATCAGCAAGCAGCCGCCAACCAGGTCCGCGCAGGCAGCGGCTGGCGAGTGCCCCCCGGCTCGGCACCCTCAGGGCAGGGCCCCGCCGCCGTCCCTGCGGTCCTCTTCCACTTGCTCGTGGTCGGGGCCGCGTGAACGTGGGAGCCAGAGCGCCCGGCGGGCACCGTAGGAGAGGGCTTTGGCACCATTTTCCGGCGACAGCCCTGGGCGGGGGACGGCATCGCGGGGACGCGGGCGTCGTGAGAGGATGGCCCATCGCGCCGCGCCCGCACGAGCACCCCCGGCCCGCGCGGCCCCGAGTCCCGGCCTCCGACTGATGGTGCTCACGCGGCCGCCCAAGGCGATGGCGAGGCCCCGTGCGCGCCGCCTGGCGCCCCCCCCCCAGCTCCCGGCGGGAAGCGCCGCTGGCTCCTGAGTGTCGCCTGAGCAGCAGCTCGCAGCCGCTGACAGCTGCGTCCCGCAGGCTCTCCGTCCGAGGACTGGCGCGTGTGCGCGGTCCTGCCTCGGCCCGCGACGGCGCCGGCTCGACGTGCGGGGTCGGCCGCCTACTCACATAGCGCTGCAGCTTCCGCTCGGGGGGCGACTTTACGAGCCAGCCGGTGCACACGGCGTCGCCAGCGCTCATCGTGCAGCCGCTTCCTCAGCCGGGCCGCGCGCGCGGCCAGAGAAGGAAGTGGGCAGTGATCCCCGCCCCGGGGGCGTCGCCGGCCG